ACATACACAGATTTTGGACTTTATGAAAAGTCCAAAAATATCGAAGCTTTTAGCAAAGGGTAACAAAATTCACAAAGCATAACTCTGGAATTTCTACCAGATCATGAAATAACTTCACTCTTTGACCGTTAACTTTGAACACAGAATTGTCCTCGGGATTGATTAGGTCAATTGCTCCGTATAGATAAACTTTATGAATGAGGAAAAGTCCATACCAACGGGACTTGAATTTTCCTGGGAACAATTTCAATCTAGAGTTAAACAAAAGAGCTTTCTGACCAGCTCTCAACTCCCGGTGCTGAATTCTTTTATCATGCCATTTTTTTGTTTTATCTTCATAAATCTTGGCATTTTCATAAGACAGATTCCTATGTTCTTCTAATTCACACAGCTGGACTTTTCTTTTATTGGCAGCCATATCTGGGCACATATTTAATTCTTTGATGGCCCAATATGCTTTGTGTTCAATTTCCAAAGGTAGGTGACAAGCCCTATCAAAAACCAGCTTATATGGGGACATACCAATTGGTGTTTTAAAAGCAGTCTGATATGCCCATAAAGCGTCATCTAACTTGAAAGCCCAATCCTTTCGGTTTGGCTTGACAACCTTTTCTAAAATTCCTTTTATTTCACGATTTGAGAGTTCAGCTAATCCATTGGTTTGCGGGTGGTAGGCATTTGCTATTCTATGGTTAATGTTGTACTTTTCAAGAACTCCACTCAACAGGTTATTTACAAAATGGGTACCCTCATCATTAATTAGTGCCCTTGGGTTACCAAACCTTGTAAAAATCTATTTTTGAAGAAATTTAACCACAGTTCTGGCATCATTAGTAACACAAGTCATGGCCTCTACCCATTTAGACACATAATCAACAGTCACTAGAATGTATTGAAAATGATTTGATGGGGGAAATGGACCCATGAAGTCTATCCCCTATACATCATACAACTCTACTTTTAAGATCCCATTACGTGGCATTTCATTCCTTTTGAAAATGGAACCACTTCTTTGACACTCATTGCATCTTTGTGCAAAATTGTGGGCATCTTTGAAGAGAGTAGGCCAATAAAAACCAGATTGTAAAACTTTAGCCGCTGTTCTTTGGCCTCCAAAGTGTCCTCCATATGCTGCTTGGTGGCAATGCTGCAGAATTGCTGCCACTTCAGTTTCTGGGATGCACCTTCTCAAAATTTGATCTGCACTGATTTTAAACAAATAAGAGTCATCCCAAAGGTAAGTTTTAGTATCATGGAGAAAATTTTTGAACATATGGCCAAAAATATCATAAGGTCTAATTCCACAAGCCAAATAGTTTGCTATGTCAGCAAACCATGATGGCTTTGATTCTAACACTATAATTCTCTCATCGGGGAATGTTTCAACAATCTCTCCTTCTTCTAGGGTTTCCCTAGGCTCCTCTAATCTTGACAAATAGTCTGCAACTTGGTTGTCTACTCCTTTCCTATCCACTATCTCAAGGTCAAACTCTTGCAACAACAAAACCCATCTAATTAACCTAGGTTTAGCATTTTTTTTTGAAATCAAGTACTTGATGGCAGCATGGTCAGTGTGAACAATGACCTTTGTTCCCATCAAATATGATCTGTATCTTTCAAAATCAAAAACCACAGCTAAAAGTTCTTTTTCAGTTGTTGTGTAGTTAAGTTGTGCTTCATTCAAGGTCTTACTTGCATAATAAATTGAATGAAAAACTTTTTCCTTCCTTTGACCTAAGACAGCTCCAACAGCCCAGTCACTAGCATCACACATGATCTCAAAGGGTTTGTTCCAGTCAGGAGCAACAACTACTGGTGCGGTTACTAAAGCTTTCTTTAAAGTGTTGAATGCATTTCTACATTCATCGGTAAAATCAAATTTTTGATCATGTTGCAAAAGTAAACACAAAGGTTTTGAGATTTTTGAAAAGTCTTTTATAAACCTTCGGTAAAACCCAACATGACCAAGAAAACTTCGTATTCCCTTAACAGTAGTTGGTTCAGGTAGTTTTTCAATGATTTCAAGTTTAGCTTTGTCTACCTCAACTCCTCTTTTGGAAATTAAATGGCCTAAAACAATTCATTCTTTGACCATGAAATGACATTTTTCTCAATTAAGAACCAGATCAGTTTCTTCACATCTTTCAGGACTTCTTTTTAAAATTTTCAAACAATTATCAAAAGATGAGCCATAAACTGAAAAATCATCCATAAAGATTTCTATGGATTTTTCAAGCATGTCAGAGAATATGGATATCATGCACCTCTGAAAAGTTTCAGGAGCATTGCAAAGTCCAAATGGCATTCTCCTAAAGGCAAAAGTACCTTAAGGACATGTGAAGGTGGTCTTTTCTTGGTCCTCGGGTGATATGGCTATCTGGTTATATCTGAAGTATCCATCCAAAAACCAGTAATACTCTTTTCCAGCCAACCTGTCTAACATCTAATCAATAAAAGGCAAGGGAAAATGGTCCTTTTGAGTGGCTTTGTTTAGCCTACGGTAGTCCATACATATCCTCCAACCAGACATTGTTCTTGTAGGGATGAGTTCATTCTTGTCATTGGTGACAACTGTAAACCCTCCCTCTTTTGGACACACTGGATTGGACTAACCCAAGAACTACTAGCTATTGAAAAAATTATTCTTGCGTCTAGCCATTTCAAAATTTCCTTCTTCACTACTTCTTTCATGACAGGGTTCAATCTCCTTTGAGGCTCTATAGATTTGAAGTTCTTTTCAATACGATGATCTTATGTTGACAAATAGAAGGACTAATCCCCTTAAGGTCAGCAATGGTCCATCATATGGCTTTGGTGTGTAACTTCAACATATCTACAAGCTTCTTTTCTTGATGTAAGTCTAGGGTAGATGATATGATGACAGGTAATTTACCTTCTTCTTCTAGAAATGCATACTTCAAGTGAGATGGGAGTTGCTTTAACTCCAGAACAAGTAGTGAAATTATAGACGGGGTAAAATTCTTAAGCTCACTATTGTCCAACAACTCAATTGCTACAGCATCAGATGGGACATCACTTTCTAAATCCTCAATAGTATTATCACCTATCTCAGCATTCTCCTCCTCTTCTAACTTACAGGCCTTCCTAACTCCTTCCTCATAGCACATTGTCTCAATCTCAGTAACTCCTGAGCATTCCTCTAAGTAATCAGGGTACTTTAAGGAATTAAAGACATTGAAAGTGACTTTCTGGTCTTGGAGTCTCATGGTTAGCTCTCCTTTTTGGACATCAATCAAAGTTCCACCAGTGGCTAAGAAAGGTCTTCCTAAGATTATGGGAATATCCTTATCAGCCTCAAAATCTAGAATGATGAAGTCAGTCGGAAAGATGAATTTGTCAACCTGAACTACGACATCCTCAATCTTACCTTTTGGATAAGCAATGCTACAGTGGTGGGTCTAGCTTCTCCTATGCCTAGGGTCTTGAAAACAGACAAGGGCATAAGGTTGATACTAGCTCCTAAATCACACAAAGCTTTACCAATCTCCTTTCCACCTATAGAACAAGGAATAGTGAAACTCCCTGGGTCTTTAAGCTTGGGGGGTATTTTGTTGGTTAGAAGCACACTACATCCTTCGGTAAGAGCTACGGTCTCATATTCGGTTAACTTCTTCTTCTTACTCAAAATATCTTTAAGGAACTTGGCATAACTCGACATTTGCTCAATTGCTTCAACAAGAGGTATGTTGATATGTAATGCTTTAAACACTTCCAAAAACTTTTTGAATTGCAGTTTTTCCTTTTGATTCCTTAACCTTTGGGGAAAAGGAACACAAAGAGGAACTGGCTTTATGATAGCTTTGTTTGGTTGTGTTTAGCAAGATGGGTCCAGAGTACCTAGAGTCTTGTTCTTACTTTCTTGAGGTTCAGATAAGATTACAACTTTGGTTTTTGGACCTGTTATAACCTCATCCTCAATTGGTTTTTTCCTAGCAACTTCTTCAGGAAATAACAAAGGATAATCCGACTTAGGAGGAACAAAAGTGGTGGTCTTAGGAGGGTGGTCATCCATAGGTTTAGGTGGACTTTCAGTAACAGGGACCATGGGTATAGTCTCAGGTTTGGACAAAACCTGTTCACTGTCTTTTGGTATGGTCTCCGTTAATTCCTTACCACTCCTAAAAGTCACTACCTTCACATGTTCTTTTCCTAGATCTCTCGGGACTTCAGTGTTACTAGGCAAAGTACCAAGGGCTCTATTATTCTGAGTAAGAGCAAGTTGGCTAACTTGTGTTTGCAGGTTTCTGATGGCAGCACTTTGTTGATTGAATAAAGATTGATTTTGAGTCATCATTTGCTGCTGTGCTTGGGACTGAGCCACCAGTCCTTTTATCATAGCTTCCAAGGAAGATGATTCAGACTGTGGAGGTGGTTTGGTCTGAAAAGGTGGTTGATTACTTTTAAAATTCTGGTGATGGTGATTCTGAGAATTAGAACTGCTTGCATGTTGTTGTTGTTAAAAATTAGGGTTTCCTTGTTGCTTATGGACTGGAGGATTCAAACTTGGACTATTCCATGAAAAATTTGGGTGTTCTCTCCAACTAGCATTGTATGTGTTAGTGTAGGGATTCGATCTGTTATGAACATAATTAACAGATTCAACATTATGTGGACACAGTTCATAAGAGTGTTCCCCTCCACAACAGACACACTACACTAAGAGGACAGCTAGAATAGGTGATGTGACAGCTGACTGCACTCCTTGGCCAAAAGTTAGATTTTTAAGCATATTGGCCATAGAAGAGAGTTGTGCTGTCAATGCAGTATATGCATCAACATCATGTATTCCTGCTGTCTTCTTTTATGGTTGAGCACGTGGATCAGCTCAATGTCCATTATTAGCAGAAATTTTTTCTAGGATCTCATATCCTTCATTATAGGTCATGGCTGTAAAGGCTCCGCCCGCAGTCGCATCGAGCATTTGTTTTGCCATGGGATTTAACCCATTGTAAAACGTCTCAAGTTGAATACAGTACGGGATGCCATGGTGAGGGCATCTCCTTAACAACTCTTTGAACCTTTCCCAAGCGTCAGGAACAGCTTCATCGTCCATTTGTTTAAAAAAGACAAATTTCATTTCTGGACTTAGCGTTCCTAGTTGGTGGGAAATATTTTCGCAAAACCTTTTCTGCCATATTACTCCATGAAGGCACAGAACTTGGCGGTAATGAATTAAACCATGCCTTTGCCCGATCCCTTAGAGAAAATAGGAATAAAGTGAGTCTCAGAGCGTCATTAGACACTCCCGGGATCAGGAAAGCATCAGTGATTTCCATAAAGAATTTCAAATGTGTGTGTGGGTCCTCCGAAGGTAATCCGGCAAATTGTCCGTTTGTTTGCAACATGTGAAACATAATTGGTTTTAGTTCGAAATGAAGAGCGGTCATATATGGCCTAACTATCCCAGAATTTAATTGCTCAAAATCTGGAATGGCATAGTCCATGATCCTTCCATTTTTGGAATTTGCCAAATTAATGATGTTCAGAGTTTTCTCTCTTAGTTGTTCATTATTTTCCGACCCTGCATCCTCATTATGATTATTATGATGTGGGTGTCCTTGCGAAAAATTAGGAAAAGGTGGTATTGTCCCAAAGGTAGGCGGTTGGTTTTCTAAATGTGGAATCTCAGGGATGATTGGGGGGGTAACTTCATGTTGGAAGAGAGTAGAGCAAAAAATGCTCTTTGAGCCCTTCTTCTTTGGCGAAACGTTCTCTCAATATCAGGATCCAATTCAAAAATTCTCCGCATTGTCTCCGTGACATACACTATTTTCAAAACGGTTTAAAAACGAAACGAGAAAAATCAAATCTTTTACTTCACTTAAGAGAAAACTTGGCGGCGCTTGAGCTAACAAGGCCACAAACAACAATCAGGACCAAAAGCAAGTATACAAATAGTCCCAATATCGTCTTTCAAGTAATAAAAGTGGTACAAGTACCGGATATCGTCCATAGGGATCGTAGTAAAAGTTTAGAAGAAAGTAAAGTTAAGGAAATGATTTCAGAAGGCGAATTTGAAGACTTTGATTTGAACATAGTTAACACAACTAAAAATTAACAGGAAATAACAGATAATAAAAGCAAGATAGGGTGTATGACTTTTCGGGTGAGATGTAAATATTATATCCAGTCGACCAATGCTGTCAAAATGCTACAGCATGAGACCATGCTGACAGATTGCTACAGCATTCAATCAGTAACAACTATTTTTACCAATTA